AGGGCAGGCCAGGAAGCCATCTTGCTGTGCAGACCCTTCTGAGCGGTCCTTACTAGCTGCTTTGGAAATTCTGTCAGACATCAGGCATCCCTGCCATGGAATTAAAGCAGCAACACCCGGCGGATGCCATGGAGTCAGCTGACTCATGGCCCCTCCGCATGCCCCAGCTGTGCTCCACAGGGCTTTCAAGGGCTGATTTTTTGGGAGCAGGCTGCCAGGTCTTTCTTCCAAGGTGCCTGTGGGTGGACTCCAACCTCCAACCTCCAGCAGCAGTGAGTGCACTGGCCGTTCGCACCACCAGGTGCTTACTAAATGTCATTGTCACCCTGCTTTTCTGTCTTCTACTTTGTGTCAGGAGGCAGGAGACACTATAGTTTCTTCTTGTTCAACTTCTAACCAGAAAAATGAAAACATTTTAAGTATGGAAATTGAAAAGTGTGTACTTCAAGGATGTCTTTATTCTCCAACACTGTAACTCATGCAAACATTCTGATAAACACTTCACTCAGAGCTCTGGTGGTTAGGGCACTTGACTGCTAACCAGAAGGAAGGAGGATCGGGCAATCTACTTCATAGAGATACCGCCTCGGCAACCCAAGGAGGAGTCGCTATGAGGCGGAGACGACTTGAGGGCACATAACAATGACAACGACAACATCGTACTGAAGCACGGTATCCAGTGTCCAGCAGGCACTTATGGTGCAAGTCACAGACGAGAACTGGGTGATGATCCGACTCGAGATACAAGCAGCTTGTATGCGTGTAAGGAGCACAGGCCTTTCCTGAAATGATTAATTCTAAACGGAGGAAGAATCTGGACCCGAAAGTCCAGCCCAGCTGTGTCAGAGTAGAACTGTGCCTCACAAGGCTTCCACTGGCTGGTTTTTCAGAAGCTAATTGCCAGGCCTTTCTTCCAAGGCACTTCTGGGCGGACCTGAACCTCCAGCCTTTTGGTCAGCAGCTGAGCGTGTGAACTGTTTGTACCATCAGGGAGCCCTGGACCGAAGGGGCAGGAGCCTAGGAGGATGGTGGCGCCTGAGCGGGCTGCACTATTTAGTGCTTTCAGGTTACTTAGGTTTCGGGTTACTCATTTCACCGGCTGAAACAGACTGATTCCCACCAAGCAGAAAGTCACTGCATGGTCCCCACTGACACGCGACCTTTCTCAGTCACACCCATGCCCTTCCAGCTCTCCCACGTCACCCACGGCCCAGAGGACGCACGCATCAGAAGACCCCAGACCCGCAGCAAGAGTGAAGGGACTGTTTGCTCACTGAGGATCACCTACACAAACATGGCTGGGCACCTCCAACACGTCCAGCAGCACACAGCCACAGCCTGGCGGGGTGGCCACTCCCGGGGCAGGACGGGAGGTGCAGGACACTCCCCTGACCAGGCCCAGACCCACCTGTGAGGTTTAGGTCCCCTGGGAGCGCCCTTCTGGAACCCCTGGGTCTCAAGGATGCCTTGGCACTCGCCAGTGTGCCGTGGTCTGGGCCAGCCTGCTACACTTGGTGGCCAGGCCATCCCTGTAAGCCTAGTGGTCCCATGGCCAGATAAAGAGACAAACTACATCCTGAGGGGCGGGGGAGGTGCCATCCCCTTGGTGCGAGTGTCAGGGAGGCAGATCTCGGAGGAGGAGAGGAGGGTGGAGGAGGAAGTCTGGGAGGTGGTGGGAGCTGGAAGGAGGGGTAACCCCACCACGGTGTCAGATTAACCAATAAGCAAGGTAAGCACAGGCTTACTTGTGCTTGGTACTAATTTTAGTGAATAGTTTCATGAATCCCTGATTGGCAAGCAGGTGGTGGCTGCTGCCTAACGGACACCCATAAAACCAGACCGTTGCTGTTGAGTTGATTCTGACCCACAGCGCCCCTAGAGGACAGAATGGAACTGCCCCACAGGGTCTCCAAGGCTGTCAGTCTTCACAGAAGCAAAGCCCAAACCACACCCACTGTCATGGAGTCGATTCTGACCCACAGCGCCCCTAGAGGACAGAGTGGAACTGCCCACAGGGTCTCCAAGGCTGTCAATCTTCACAGAAGCAAAGCCCAAACCACACCCACTGTCATGGAGTCGATTCTGACCCACAGCGCCCCTAGAGGACAGAGTGGAACTGCCCACAGGGTCTCCAAGGTGGTTATCTTTACAGAAACAGGCCACCACATTTCTCCCATGGAGCCCCTAGTGGGTTTAAACCCTGACCTTTCAGTTAACAGCTGAGTGTTTAACTGCTGTGCCACCAGAGCTCCTTCCTACTGGTCACACTGGACATTAAATAAACAATGAACCATGACACAAGAACTATCCCACAAGATGGCAGGCAATGGCACTTATCTGCCTCACCAACACTGAATACAAAGATGCCCACGTCCGCCCCATCTCACACGCTGCTCAGGATCGCCGGGGATTCTCCCGGCTGGTGGTGCCCAACATGTCCCTGCCTCTGGTGGCGAGGCCACCATTTTGCCCAGAAAACAAAACTCATGCCTATAGCTCCACGCTCGGCCTTCACTCACAGACGCCATCTCCCTGAAAACCTCATGAAAAAGTCATAAAAGTGAAGTGGGGTCATTAATATTCATGCTGCCCCCTCCACAAGCCACCATATGTGTTCCATCATTGCAGGGGCGGTTGCCTGGGCCGGGAGGTGGTCATCAAAGTGACCGTCTCAGCAGGCAGGCTCAGGATGCAGGCAGGGCCTAAATATAACCACACTCCATGGAGCGGTCCTGGGCCACCTTTCATCACTGACTAGCTGGGTGGCCTTGGGGAACTCACTTCCCGATCTCCTAGAGACTCGGCCACTATGAAATGGGGCTGATATGCCAAGCCAATTACCTGACCGCATGTCCCAAAGGGAAGAGAAACTCCCGTGGTGACAACACAGAAACCAGTCCATGGGGGCCTGAGGACATGACAGGGTTCCTCAGGCTGAAGTCAAGAGCAAACTGAAGATCTCAGAGGAGTGATTTAACACGAGAGAGTGTGTTCACGTCAAAAAACAAACCCACTGCCATGAAGTTGATTCTGACTCACAGCGACCCTTCAGAACAGAGCAGAACTGACCCATAGGGTTTCCAAGGCTATAAATCCTCATGGAAGCAGACTGCCTCATCTTTCTCCCACAGAGCGGCTGGTGGGTTTGAATCACTGACCTTCTGATTAGCAGCCAAATGCTTTAACCACTAAGCACCAGAGCTCCTCTGGCTAAAGTCAGCACAAGAAAATAACAAGTGCAGGGAGGGTGTGGGGAAACTGGAACCCTCCCCTGCGCGGTGGAAATGCAGCCCCTGTGCGAAGCAGGTGGGACCTGCCCCACCGCTGGGGGGACCGTCACACACTGTAGGCCCTGTGCGAAGCAGGTGGGACCTGCCCCACCGCTGGGGGGACCGTCACACACTGTAGGCCCTGTGCGAAGCAGGTGGGACCTGCCCCACAGCTGGGGGGACCGTCACACACAGCAGCCCCTGTACAAAGCAGGTGGGACCCTCCTCACCGCTGGGGGGACCGTCACACACCGCAGCCCCTGTACAAAGCAGGTGGGACCCTCCTCACCACTGGGGGGACCGTCACACACCACAGCCCCTGTGCGAAGCATGTGGGCGGTTTCTCAAAAAATTAACCACAGAATTTTCATAGGATCCAGGAATCTCACTCCTAGGTGTCCACCCCAGAGGCTTCAAAGGAGGGAGTCAGACAGATACAAGTACCCCATTGCTCACTGTGCATTATTCTCAAGCCAAAGGTGACAGCAACGCAAGTGCCAGTGGCAGATGGATACACAAACGTGGTGCAGGCACACAATGAAGCATCAGTCGGCCATAAACAGAAATAAATGCAGTCGTGACGTGTAGTACAACACGGATGGCATGCACCGTAACACGCGACACGTACCGCAGCATGGATTAGCCTTCGGAAAGTCATGTGGAATGAAACACATCAGACTAAAAGAACAAATACTCTATGATCCCACCTATGTGAGCTATCTACCATGAGATGTATCTACAGCAGAAGATGTTCACGACATGAAACATCAACAAAGGCAAGTGTACAGACACCCAGGGAGATCAGTGATGACAGGGGCCGGGGGTGACAGGGGCTGGGGTGGC